AAATTTTGTTTATGAGGTTTGAATTACAGGAACCCAATCTAAGGTAAAGGTACCACTTCTCTCTTTATTTTTTTTGTTTGATCATTCGGTATCTGAAAATTTATTGCATTATTGATTAATTCAAATTCCAACTAGATAAGACCCAACGGGTAACAAAACATTTTTTCATGAATTTTAATAAAACTGTATTTTCAGAATTTGAAACTAAAATCTCTTATTAAACTAAAAGAATTCCCTACTAACTCATTCACCTGCTTATGAGTACCACTTCTCTCTTTATTTTTTTTGTTTGATCATTCGGTATTTGAAAATTTATTGCACCACTGATTAATCCAGATTCCAGTCAGATACGACCAAATGGGTAACCAAATTTTCTCTCACGAATTTTAACAGAACTACATTCTTGGAATTTGAAACCAAAATATCTGATTAAACTGAAAATATTTCCTACTAACTCATCCACCCGCTCATGGGTACCACTTATCTCTTTATGATCGATTCTTTAGTATGGGTAAATATTAGAGGAGTAAAAGATCAAGTTATAATAGTATAACTTACACTAGTTTTTATATGTACCAAAGAAAACTTACACTAGTTTTTATACTAAATAATAACTTTTTATAGCATTACTGTCTTGTGTAGTAGATTGTTAAATTTAATGTTTATACAAAATAATAACTTTTTATAGTCAAAACAGTGTACTCCACCAACGGCTGATAATCTTCGCGTCCCGCCGTCCCGAATTTCAGCCGGAAACTCTTCTCTTCCCTCGACCCCAATCGGAAACCTTCCGCCGCCATCACAGAAAGTGCAGTATCTTCACTATACAATACAAAGCTCTGTATTTCGTCCAAGGAAAACACGGAAACAAAATTGGGGTTGTATACGGTGAAGTTCACATCCCATCTCGCCGACAGCGTTAAATCGGAGACGGCGATGCCCGATACAGAGAGCGAGTTCAGTCGGACGACCGGCATTCCAGGACAAAACGCGATTTCCACAAACAAGTTCAGCAATGCACCGGAGATTAATAGAGTACACAATACGGTTAGAGCTAGAGGGAGGTAAACCATTTCCTTCATGCCGGAAACAATATCGGAGAAATGGGTTCTTGGAGAACGGTGGCTGAAGTTGAGAGTCGGTGAAAAGCCGTGATTTTGGGATTGCGTGTATTGGAGAGCATAATCCATGGTTAATTATAAACAGGATGTTGGGAACCGTGTGAGTAACTACAGATTGTTCTTGCCATTAAGATTGGCTGCAACTTAATTAATTTAACGACCACTTGCACTGCAGTTATTATCTGTTTAATTTAACGACTTCGTAGATTAATAATATGTGTGGATTGGATTGAGTACATTTAGCCGTGTGACATCAGGTAGTCACGCTCCTCTTTAAAAATAAAGTGATGGTATTTCTAGTGATCTTCCTCTATCTAATATTATTAATATAATTATCATTTTAAAAAATTGTTTGAATTGAGAAGAGTGAAAGGGAAGGAAGGAGAGGAAAAAAAAATTTTTATTAGGTAATCAAGAAAATTGGAGTGGAGGGAGGAAAAAAAGTTGCTGTATTTTTACTTCTTTTTTTTTTTTTCATTTAGTTATTCAAGCAAATGAGGGAAATGAAAAGAAATTGAGAGGAAAATTTTCCCTTTCCTCCGTTCTCCTCAATCTGAAAATTGGGTAAAAAAACATTTGTTTAATAATTGGATTGCTGGACAAAATGGAAATAGAAATATGATTGCAAGAATGATAGCAGGACAAAATGGAATATTTTATGATCTTAACCAATTTGTAAAAGCTGCAGATTATCTCTAAAATTATGTGTTAAAATAAATTTTTATAAAAAATATTAATA